ATTCCCACCTGTAGTGGCTGCAGGTGGATTAAGACACCCCCCCCCAAAAAAAAAGAGCTCCCAGAACACTCTAGAATATGCTAGAACATTCTGGGCTAGGAGAAATTGCTGTTCTGTGTGGAATTTTCTAAAGAAAACTTGGTCGGTAGGGGAGTGGTGAATTCTAAGTGTCCCTAGTTCCTCAGTTTCCCCACCTTCACAATGAATAATCAGGGAAACCAAGCACGCTTTTAACTGAGTCCAGGCAGGAGGATGGGAGGCCTTTGTGGATAAGGGTATAGGGGCCCCCGAGGGACCTCTGCCCAGCCCACTGGTGCCCCATGCCTGCACCAGCCTCTGCTGCCACCCACAGCACACACCTGGGCCTCTCTCCCTGCTCCTGGCTGCAGGAACAGCCCAGGTGAGCAGGCCTGGCTTCCCAGCAGGCCAGGGCAGAGCTGGCCCCAGATGGGGGTGCTGTGAGGCAGGCATAGGGTGCTCTATCCTCCACCCCCCTGAGGGCCCCGTGGTCACCACCTGGATCAAGAATGATGTTTGAGAAAGGAGCATCTCCCTTTCAGGCCTTTTCATCCCTCTCTCTGGAGCTTTCTCTGGAGCTTGGAGGTGCCTGGGGAGCCTCCTGGGATGCCCACCCTGGCCCAGGGAAGCTCAGAGTGCCCCATCTCAAATCCCAGCACCAAGCAGGACCCATGACCCCCTCCCATACCCTTGCTGCCAGCTGCCCTTGGCTGGCGGCCTGGGCCCCAGGAGGGTAAACTTTCCAGTTGGCAGCTCAACCACCCACCAGCCCGGGTTGGGGGAGGGTGGGGGGGTTCAAGGGGGCAGAATCCCCAGTTAGGATGCAGGTGGCTTCGCCATATCCCACACACCAGCCCCAGCTTGTCCTGAGCCAGCGGGAGGGGATCTCAGCACCCCGTTCTGGGCTCCAGGCCCAGCCCTCTGCCAAGGAAGCTGGCCTGGTGAGCCATGCCCAGAGAGGGTCAGGAAAGCCCCCCGGCCACACAGCACAGCCCTGCATCCAGAGGCCGGGCAGCCAGGATTCAAATCCCAGTGCCTCCCCACCCTCATCCGCTTTCCAGCTGTGTGTGCAAGGTGAGTCCGGAAAAAGTGGGTAATAAAAATCAAATAGAGTCAAGAAGTCCGTTGTCCCCAGAACTTGTGGTTTGAAGATATAAAAACACATGCCAGGAAGCACAGAGGTGGAGGCCACCTTGTGAAGTGGCATAAGGAGAAGGAGGGATGGAGAGGAGGCACCCGGATGAGGCCAGGCTGGTGGGCTGGGGCGGACAGAGCTGACCCGGGATCCTGAGTGTCCCCTTGAGCCCAATCTCAGCCTGTGCTTCACTGCACTGCAGCTCCGCGGGGATTGGGGCTCTGTCCAGGTCAGGCCCAAAATTCATCTTGGCCAGGAGCTCCAGGGGTCCAGCCTCCTGCTGCCTCGGGGCTGAGGCCAGGCACCAGGGCCCGCAGGAGGCCGAGGCCGCAGGGAGGGGCTGTGGCTCAGCGCTTGCCCCAGCCCTGCCCCAGGCGACTGCTCCTGGGACTCCTCAGGTCCTGGGTCCTGACCGTAGGTATGCGCTCCCACCACAGTGCCACCCCCGCAACAAGTGGAGCTGAGCTGCGGGGCCGAGGGCCTCCTCTGACTCCAGTCCCAGCCCTCAACGCTGCCAGGCAGCGGAGTCCTAGCACCTTCCTGGTGCGACCCCAGGACAGACAGCTCCCCTCAGACATCTAAAGCAAACCCGAACAGAGTAGCGGCTTCCCCCTCATCCAGGAAAGCCGTGCTGCTGGCGCCTTCACCTGGACAAGGGGCTCACTCCTTCCACAAATAGGGATGCGCGTGGTACTAGCACAAACCCAGTGTGGCTGGGCTGACCCTGCCTCGCCCGTGCCACCACATATCACAGTGAGTCAAAGAAAAACCAGGGCCCTAATCAACATACAAGGTGGGATCAAACGCTATGGTACGCCCCAGCTTTCCCTCCCTCCCACAAGGCATCACGCTCTTCCTTTCCAACCTGCATGGGGTGCAAAGGGTGTGGAGGACCAGGGCCGTGCTAGTGTGCACAGGGCGCGGCCCTAAGAACTCATCATCAACATTCATCAGCGCATCTGGGGAGTGGGCTTCAAGATGCGCACCCCTCGGGCTCTCAAGGAGATCCGGAAATTTGCCACGAAGAGGGCAGCCCAGATGTGCGCGCTGACACCAGCCTCAGCAAAGCTGCCTGTGCCAACGGGATGAAGAGTGTCCCATGTCGCTCTAGGTATGGCTGCCCAGAGGACACGAGGAGGGCGAAGGGTCAGCAAAGAAGCTCTCGACTTCGGTAACCTACGTCCTTGTTACACACGCTCAACACTCCCAGACAGTGAACGTGAGTGAGGACTCACCTTCAAGTAAAATTACAAAACTGGCCCGCCAAAAAGAACTACAGCGAATGTTTAAACATTTTTAAACTCATACAATCAATTCTGCCACTAATCCTCTTCAAAATCCTCCCTGTTGCTTGGAATACACTCACCCCACTGTTCCGGCCGCTTTCTGAACCTCTTTTATATGTCTAAGTGGCTGCCTGGATCAGTTGGAAAGCCTGACCTTTCCGGCTCATCGTGACTTGGAGAGGAGCCAGGAGTCTCCTGGGGCCAGATGCTAGGCGCAGGCTGGACAGAGGCAGCACCAGGTGTTTCTGCACTGCCTTCCCATTGGCTGGAACTCTGGCAGGTGCATTCACCGGATTTATGATCACATCTTGTAAGACACAAGCTTAGGAAGCACGCAGGGATGGCTGAGTAGGCCAAAAGAAAAAAAAAATTAAAAACTAAAAATAAATAAATAAATAAATAAATAAAAATAATAATAAATAGAAAGAAAGAAAGACCACTTCCAGAACTGCTCCAGAAAGTGCCGAGAAGGACAGGATCAGTGTGTGAGAAGTGAGGGAGAGAATTTTTTTTTTTAAATTTTTATTTATTTATTTGTGTGTGTGTGGTGTGTGGGTGGCCAGCTCAGCCCACCAGGGGGCGGGGCTGGCTGGCATGTGGTGCTGGGGGATTGAACCGCGGTCCCTTTGCTTTGCTAAGCTTGTTCTAAGTGGGTGCTTTAGACCACTGAGCCATCTCACCAGCCCAGAGGGAGAGAATTTTGAGGGGTGTTCATGACAGCACAGCGCTTTCCCGTAATACATTTTATTTATTTATTTATTTATTTTCTCGTAATACATTTTAGAAATGAAAACATTTGCCGTCTGTTTCACCAACCCCCATCCGCACAGGGCACAGAGTCGCTTGGATCGCACTGGGAGGCGGCAGCACCTGTGGCTCTCTGCGAGAATCCTACCTTTAGAGTTTTTAAGACGTGACCCAATCTCTTAACTTTCTGTTCTCTGCTCTCTTGTTTCTCTGTCCTTTCTAGGCTGCCAGCCCAGCGGGGGAAACAGTCCAGTGTGGCCTGGGTCATAGTGGGAAACAGGCAGTGCAGGGACTGCACGAGGAATCTGATCCGGTTGAGCGTCCGTCTGGGAGGCCTTTCCAAAAGAGGCGTCTGCACGCAAAGCTCTGAGGGGTGCCTGGGAGTTCAGCAGGAAGTGGTATCCACACAGACACAAGCAAATTGTTTTTGTTTCTTTTAGCTCTTTTGAGACAGCTCTCGCTGTGTAGTGAGGCCGGCCTTGAACTCACTAGGCAGCCCAGGTTGGCCGACCACCACGCTGGCAGCTTGCTACATTTGAGATTTCAAATGTCTGTGAGCAAAGAAGTCTCCTTCCAGGGTGACTGCAGGTGTAGGGTAGCTGGCCAGGGGCCTAGGACACAGTGACATCAAGAATGACAGGCAGTTATTGATGTTTCAATAAATCACACAGAAGCTGGCCAGCTCAGGAACAAGATCGGAGCAGGCCACCAATCATCTGCTAACACGTGGCCCTAGGAGGCTCTCAGACTCCCTGCCACGAAAGCAGAAGCAAGTTCTACACCAGGCACATTCTCAGAGCCATCTTCTCTCAGAACCAGCCTTCCGGAATTCCTCTTCCTAACCCAGGAAGCTCAGGGGGCTCCCGGCCTTCCTCTGGAGACAGGAGGCAGGAGAATCACAAGTTCAAAGTCAGCCCGGGGAGCTTAGCAAATTAGTAAAACCCTCTCTCAAAATATTAAAAATGCAAAGGACTGGGCATACAGCAAGTGCAAAGGCCCAGAGTTCCATTGCCAGCACTGCAGAAAAGGAAAGAAGGAGGGGGAGGGGAAGGAGCAGCGGAAGACGAAGAAAGGTTGGTCTGGAGTCACACCGGCAGCCAGACGGTAGCCTCGGCCACCCCCAGGGCCAACAACCTCCCCACACCCATCTGCCCAAACTGTGCCTGTTGCCCTCTGCTGGGACGTTGCATAGCCCCTGTGGCCTCACGGGCTAATAAGGTTCCCTCCCTGGCCCCGGCTAAACATGGCTCTGTGTGGCGCTGACCTCAGCAGCAGCTTTCCTGTCTCCCTCCTGAAGATGCAGCTATCGCTTCTCGGCCTTTTGGCTAAGATCAAGTGTAGTATCTGAAGATGCAGCTTCCTGTGTCCCCAGGCCTTCGATACCTTGGAGCCTACGCACTTCCGCTTGGAAGTGTTTCTCTGTCTCCTGGAGAAAAGGAGGGGATGTTCTCGGTGGACGTGAAGATAGAAAAGCAGAAATTCTGCCACCTCCTCCCTTCCCACCTGGCATTGCAAGGAACCCTGGGTGCCTCCTGCCACCCACTTTGAGAACGAGTGGTTCCAGTTAACATTTGCCCTTTGGAGGAGTTGCCTGTGTGCCTCACTCAAGGCCACAGAGGGGGAACATGTGGCACTGCTCCTACCTAGTCTTGGTGGCACAAATTAGGAAGTACCAAACTACTTTGGTGGATGGGTTGGCTCCATTCCTGACAGGCCACCCTGTCACCTGGTATCAAGGACCAGGAGCAGGACTGGGCTAGGCATTGGCCCTGGCTCCACTTCCTTCTTCCTTATTTGCTCCATCAGGTCCCAGGGAGCAGCTGTCCCTGTCTGTCCTCCTGGTGAGCAGCTTGTGGCCCCCCAGGTAAGGGCTCTCGGAACAGATTTGCACCCTTCGCAGCGTGGTATGTGGGACACTCAAGGACGGGCCTCTCCCCACGCTTCTCCACCCCGCCCCGCTGGCTTCTCCCCCTCCCTGCGGCCAGGCTGCTCCTGAGGATGCCGGGGTCCACAGCGTGGGGAAAGACCTGGACTGGGCCGCAGCCTCGGTTACACCCGTGGCCTCCCTGGTGTGGGGTGGATGGGGTGGGGACAGGAAGGGAAGCCCTGGTGGATTTGTCAAACCAGCACACACTAGGGGGTGTCCCACCCTTCCAGCCAAGCTCTGCATGTGAAACTCACACCCCTGGGTCTGCAGATTCCCTCTGCTTCTGCCTGGTGGGAAGGGAACACTTTGGGTAGTGTGTGTACATTCATGCGTGTGTGTATGTGTGTGCATGCATGTATTTGTGTTCTTGTTTTCTGTGGTGACACATCATGGTATTTTCCAATCAGAAGCACATCTGTAATCCATGCAATAGGAAGGCTGAGGCAGGTGAATCCTGAACTCAAGTCCAGCCTGGACAATTTAGCAGGATTTTAGCTCCAAAATAAAACAGGGGCTGGAGACAGAGCTCAGTAGAATAAGCGTTTACCTGCCAAG